AGTCAATTAGCATATTCCCTCCTTATTGGCTGTGGGCACCGCCATCTTTGAGGGGGGGAGTCAATTAGCATATTCCCTCCTTATTGGCTGTGGGCACCGCCATCTTTGAGGGGGGGAGTCAATTAGCATATTCCCTCCTTATTGGCTGTGGGCACCGCCATCTTTGAGGGGGGGAGTCAATTAGCATATTCCCTCCTTATTGGCTGTGGGCACCGCCATCTTTGAGGGGGGGAGTCAATTAGCATATTCCCTCCTTATTGGCTGTGGCCGCCACCATTTTTGTGACGGCATGAAGGTCAATTAGTGTATACCCTCTTTATTAGATAGGATTAGTATACCAGTGCACTGATTTGTGCACCAGTGAGGTCCCTCGGCCTGGCTTGCGGCGATCAGGCCACACCCAGTTGTCCTATATCCCCCAAGGGGTTCTGGATAGCAAGAGGGTGCAGGCTAGGCTGAGGGACCCCACGGGTGCACGGTCTGGGCCAGGGAGAGACCGAGGGAGGGCATTAGGGCATGGCCGGCCTGTCTCTCCCAGTCCCAATCGGCTGGATCCCAGCAGAGAGCTAACCTACCAGTCAGAGTGCCCCCTGGTGGTCAGTGCGCATCATAGCAACTGGTCGAACAGTTGAACATATGGTCGGACACTTAGCATATTGGGCTTTTATTATATAGGATTAGAGGCCTGGTGCATGACATTCGTGCATGGGGATTGGTGTCCCTGAGCCCAGCCTGCACCCTCTCACAGTCCAGGAGCCCTCAGGGGATGTCCAACTGCCGGTTTAGGCCCGATCCCTGGGACTGCTGACACCTAACCACTTGCCTGCCTGCCTACCAGATTGCCACTTAACTGCTCCTCTGCCGGCTTGATGGCCCCCAACTGCTCTTCCCTGCTGGCCTGATCGCCCCCACTGCCCTCCCCTGCCGGCCTGATTGCCCCTAACCACCTCTGCCTCGGCCCCCACCACTGTGGCTTTGTCCGGAAGGAAGTCGGATGTCCGGAAGATGGCCGGTCACCCAGTCTAATTAGCATATTACCCTTTTATTAGTACAGTGGGGCCTTGACTTACGAGTGTCCCGACTAACGAATTTTTTGAGATACCAGCTGTCTCTCCGCTGATTTTTTGCTTTGAGTTGATAGAGTATTTGAGTTAACGAGCTCCTTAACAAGCTCCTTAACAAGCTCAGTCTCGGAATGAATTAAACTCATAAGTCAAGGCCCCACTGTATAGACTAGTGGCCTGGTGTACGAAATTCATGCACGGGGGGTGTCCCTCAGCCCAGCCTGCACCCTCTCCAATATGGGACCCCTTGAGAGATGTCCAACTGATTGCCCCTCACTGCCTGTGCCTCAGCCCTGCCACCATGGCTTTTCTGGAAGGACATCTAGAAGGTCTCCCGGTCTAATTAGCATATTAACCTTTTATATTATAGATAGTATATTACTATACATATATAGTATATATATCTATAATAATAAAAGGGTAATATTCTAATTAAACCAGACGTTCTTCCGGACAACCTTCTGGACAAAGCCAGGGCTGTGAGGGAAGCCTGGGTCCCGAGTGCCAGAGGGAAGCCAGTGCCAGCATCTGGGGGAAGAAAGGTCTACTCTTGCACAAATTTCATGCTTCGGGCCTCTAGTAATATATTACCATTATCTATATATACTATATGTATAAAAGCCAAGCGACTGGAATGATTGGAACAACCGGAATGACTGGTCGCTATGATGTGCACTGCGGTCGGCCAACCAGCCTGATGGGGCGAGGCTGGCCAACCAATGTTCCGCAGCACCTCCCCTCAGCCGGCCAGCCCCAATTGACCCCAATCGGGGCAGGCCAGGAAGACCCCACCCATGCATAAATTCATGCACCAGGCCACTAGTAGTCTATAATATACTGTATTATATCACATATAGTATATTCATTTCTAATCAAATAATTGATTTATTAGGATTTAGAAGGGAGGGAAACAGATCTTAACGTGATGTTTTATCCAAGGTGAAGTATGACTGTATCCGGAACTCCAGCTTCCATGTCTCTTTCTTGCATACGTTGATAGATAAAATCTTCTAATTTACACCTCTCTGACTCCAATTTTTCTCTTTTGATGCTAATAGTCAATCTTTTGTTGACATTAAAAGACAATTAATTGCGGTGCTTTAGGCTCCTATAAAGCACTTACTCTGTGACACTGTCCTAGGAAGCATTGTATCCTTTTTTTATATTACTAACCTTGTTCATAAAAGTTTAACTTCAGTTTGCTCTAGTTCTTAAATTCACACTTTGCCTTAAGTACTATGTAAGGTATACCATGGAGCTCACCAATACAAATCCGTGAATTTCTTAAATCTAATGAAGACTCAGGCCACATTAACATGGTGGGAAGGAAATAGTTTCCCCTAAATACTGTGTGAGCTAGATGGCTTCTGAGACAGGGGTATAAATGCCTCTTAGATAGGCATGAATGGACTTTACTGTGCCAATGTCTTGAGGTCTGGTCAGCAAATGGGATGGAGACCTGAAACAGTCTCCAGGAGGTAGAGGGGTGTTGTATTTGATGATTTTCTTGTCTTATCTCTTTGTCATTTTGTTTCCTTTTAGCCTCAAGACTTGTTTGCTCTTTCCTGAATTTCCCACCCATATTACTTTACTTTCCACTAAAGTCCATTTCAACCCTCAGCAGGTTTAGGATAAAGTAGAGCTATTGGAACTAATTTAGAAACTTTGAAAATCATAGATGAGCTACGAAAGGTTTTTCCATGCACCCAGTTGAAAAAGGCAACAAATCATGAGCACTTTTCAGAACCTTAATACAGGCAAATTATTTTATTGCTGCCTTTTTAACTCCTTATTTAGTTTCCCCACAGTGTATAATCAGAGCTTCCTTCTCTGAACTCCCCAAAGCTGCCATTGCCTTTCCCTTTCTAGACACTCCACCTCTGATCCCATTGAGATAAATGAGATCTTTTAACAAGAAATTCCTCAACTGCTTTCCTTTTACCTCAGAAGTTTTCTTTGGAAGGAATCTTTCATTGTCGGTAATACTTGTGTGCTCTGCTCAAGATTTGGGTAAGCAAAGATGAAATAGAAAGGGGCCCTTCTTTGATGAAGGTCAGTGTAGTAGGGAAGGTAGACTTTAACCAAGTTTTTTATAAACTACTAGAGGCCTGGTGCATAAAATTTGTGCATGGGGGTGGGGTCCCTCAGCCCGGCCTGCACCTTCTTGCAATCCGGGACCCCTCAGGGGATGTCCAACTGCTGATTTGGTTTAGGCCTGATCCTTGTGCAATCTGGGACCACTGGCTCCTAACTGCTCACCTGCCTGCCTGTCTGATTGCCCCTAACCACTCTGCCTGCCTGCTTGATCACCCCTAACAACTCTGCCTGCCTGCCTGATCTCCCCTAACCCCTCTGCCTGTCTGCCTGCCTGATCACCCCTAACAGCTTGCCTGCCTGCCTGATCGCCCCTAACTGCTCTGCCTGCCTGCTGATCACCCCAACCACTCTCCTGCATGCCTGTCTCATTGCCTCTAACTGCTCGCCTGCCTGCCTGATCGCTCCTAACCACTCTGCTTGCCTGCCTGATTGCCCCTAACCACTTTGCCTGTCTGTCTGGTCACCCCTCACTGCTCACCCACCTGCCTGATTGCCCCTAACCACCTCTGCCTTGGCCCCCGCTGCCATGGCTTTGTCCGGAATGATGTCTGGAAGGTCGTTTGGCTGTCCGGTCTAATTAGCATATCACACTTTT